AATATTGTTCTCAACAATTAGGCATCTTGCAAGTCTTTGACAACTGATCATGAATGATAAAGGAAAAGGCGGTAATGAGCTGTTGGACTGTCGACCCAGTTCGCTTACACAGGCGTCAAAGTGTCAACAAGAGTGGGCATCAGGGGAGCATATGATAGGATCTCAAATTAGACCCTGGGCAGATCTCTAGATCTTGCTTCGGCATTTGCTTCCATGATTTGCGGAGCCAAGAAGTCTTATTCAAACAGTCATTAATTGCCATTGGAGTCACTAACAAGTCCCAGGTCGGGTGGGCGCAAGAGAAAGAGAAAATCCTACCAACTAATGATTAATCCCCTTGAAAAGTTCTCAAGCACATGAATGCAGGCATAGACAAGCTTAGGATCAGATAACATATGCTCATCATAAGGTCAAGAGATTTCTCTCCCAGTTTATTTCCAAATCGGGATGGCCTGACTAGGTTTCAAGCACCAGCAAGCAACGGCGATCTGCGAACTGGGGAAACAAATCTTGGCATTACTTGTAGTCGAAAACAAGGACGTTTTACATGGGGAGATCCCACGTCACTTGAGGCCAGCAATGCCAGGTACAATGAGTTGTGTCAGATCTGATCAAGCAACTCCATCAAAATGCTAGATCTGCTTCCCCACGTTGCAGATGCGGCCCATGAGCTTAAGCCAGAAAGAGACAAACTGGCAGATGAGCTGCATAAACAAGTAGTGTTGAAGCATACTGAAAGTTTAATCTGAGCAAGTCGCAGCTTGTATTGCGCGAAAATATGTCAGAGTCTGGTGACCTTTTTATGTCAACCTTCACCCTGAATGCCGCTGACTAAACAGGGACCGTGCACGCCAACTTCACGCGTTCCTTGCCCGAGGCAGAACATCACCTCCTCTGCAGTCGCGAATCCCATCATCTTATTCACCGAACAAGTCTTCCTTTGACCGTAAATCCTAGGGGAATAATAAAGAAAGCTCCTCTGGTGTGTATGGCGCCTTTCAAATGATTGGTGATTTCGCCAAGCTTCGGACCGAGCCTGCGCGCCACCTCCCCCTTGACGCGATTATCCATCTCAAGCTTGCGCCAGCGACGCTTCGATTTTCAAGTTTACATCGCCGTTAGCTTCGCTCAAGATGGCTCCGGCATCTCCGACTCCCAGGCGACCCGTTACCGGAAGACGTCGAGGTCGTCCTCCGGGTTCGACCAATGCTGCTCGTGCTGCAAGAGCAGCCCTCGCGGCAGCCTCCGCAACTGAACCACCACCAAAACGACGTCGATATATTCCAGGAGGGGCCGGTGGCGGTGGTCGCTTCGCTGATGCTGACTTGCTAACCACGCCGAATACGACTGGGCCATCAACAGTATCGAGGTCAAGAGCAGCTGCGCGCGAGGCTATCAATGGCCCTTCTCCATCCATAATGCCTCGACGAGAAAGAGGCGCTCGCACGCGAGCTGCTGGCAATGATGGCTTGGAGGAAATGCAATGGGGTTCAGCTGCAGCCATGGCGACTGCTGTGAAGCAGGCTGAAGACTATAAGCCCCGCGAGGAGCGCAGCTGGGAGGACTTCCATCCTAACCTAGATATTGATGCTACATTCATGATCCTGCGATCTGAACAGGTTGATGGCATACCCCAAGAACAACCTGATTTATCAGTGGTTCAGGCATTCGGAACACCTTTGGACGAAACCCGAACCCCATCGAGACAACCAAACCCCGCATCAACTGGAAACACACCAAATCCTCAAGGTCGCTCAGAGTCGAATGCCGCCGATGTTCTTACTGATACACCTTTACGGCGCCCTCGTCGACCGACCCGAGATGTGGTCAGCTTTTACAGCAGTAAGCCGCTGGACTTTCTCACAACACCAAAAACACCTAAAATTCTACCCATTCAAAACCAGACACCGAAAGAGAAACTGGATCTTAAACTACCTTCATATCGTAAAACCAACAGCATCGAATTATATGAGAGCAAAACTTTTGGCCAGGCTCGCTTTGTCGACAAGTCAATGAGTAATGTCGGCTATCAGGAGAGTGACCACTACCTGCGCCCGGAGCAAGCTTTAATCAAATCTTCTGATCTTACCATGGAAGATGACGCAGAATTGACCGATGCTGCTATGGCAGCGTCTGACGGGCCGGTCTACCGTACACGGATCGGTCGTGTCGAATATGATATGGATGAACAAGACGATATTTGGCTTGGGCGATACAATGCTCACCGCAGGCAAAACGACGTTCCAGCTATAACACGCGAAGTTTTCGAAATCACTATGACAAAGATCGAAAAGGAGTGGCATGTGCTTGAGAAGAGAATTCCAAAACCGAACCCGAAGCCTCCACAAACCCATCGTCCGCGATCAAGCTCTGCCGCCGCTGTAAATGGTGAGCCGCAAGGGGGTGAAGAGCCTGACTCAAAATGCGCCATTTGCGACGACGGTGACTGCGAAAACACCAACGCGATTGTGTTCTGTGATGGCTGCAACCTCGCAGTTCATCAAGAATGTTATGGTGTCCCATTTATCCCAGAAGGCCAGTGGCTCTGCCGCAAATGCCAGCTCTGTGGGCCTTCAGTTCCTGTAAGTCTAGTTCAGAACACTTTCTCGAGTTGCTATATTGACTCAAAGCAGACTTGTATCTTCTGTCCCAACACCGACGGTGCGTTCAAGCAAACAAATTCCTCGAAGTGGGCACATCTGCTTTGCGCAATGTGGATTCCTGAGGTTTCCTTGGGTAACCACACGTTCATGGAACCAGTCATGGACGTAGAAAAGGTGCCGAAAAACCGTTGGAAATTGACGTGTTACATTTGTCGACAGCGAATGGGCGCGTGCATACAGTGCGGAAACAAGAACTGCTATCAAGCATTTCATGTCACTTGTGCGCGGAGATCCCGGCTGTTTCTTAAGATGAAGACTAGCCAGGGTGCTCTCGCTGTGTTGGATGGCGGTATGGTGCTCAAGGCCTTTTGTGATAAGCATTGCCCGCCTGACTATGTGCAAGAGCATAGTGTTCAACAGGCCACAAAGGCAGCCAAGAAATTCTATAAGAGAACCATGAGGAATCGTATCTGGGCTGATAACACCGCTGTTGCGAATGCTATTGCAGAGCAGCAGCGCAACGCCCTTTCAGAACAGCCATCGGATGAAACACAGCTTACTGGGACAAAGTCTGCAGCCGTTGGTGACAAAAAGAGAGGCCAGAATCCGAAAAACGTCTGGAAAACTCCTGCAGGTGCACCTATTATACCACAGGCCGTTTTTGAAGTTGTAGACGCTTCGATTCAAAGATTCGCATTTCCTAAACGCAAGGAGTTCCTGAGCCAGGCATGTCGCTACTGGACCCTGAAGCGTGAGAACCGTCGAGGAGCAGCACTTCTAAAGCGTCTGCAGCTTCAGATGGAGTCCTTTTCCTCGATGGAGCTTACGCGACGTGACTTCGCAGCCATGGGGCCGAGCGGAAAGATCAGACTTGCTAGACGCATTGAATTCGCCGAGAATTTGATTATTGAGCTTGAGCAGCTCAAAGATCTTGCAGCCCAGCTTGTGGAACGGGAGCAGATCAAGGTTGCCGCTGGTGAACTTGAACAAGAATTTGTGGATGAGTGTTACTTCCCTGTCGCGAAACTTCTCAACCCTGCTGTTGACAGGGCAATATCGTAAGTGCATATATTGCTCCGCTGATCTTGACTTTGGACTAATTATTTCAGACTTGATAAAGATCTCTTCAAGGACGGTCTTGACAAGCTTCAAAGCCGTGTCAATGCCCGCTTTTATGTGACAGTAATGTCCTTTGCTTTAGATCTTTGCGATGTAATCAGTACTGGTATTTCTACAACACCGCCTGAGTCATCTACGGTTGCAACTCAAACTGAAGCTGTCGACGCACCGCCTGCTAAAACCACTTTCTCAGATATACGAGAGCGCCGAAAATTGGGAAAACGCATATTGAAGGCTGTTCAGCCACACCTTGAGACAGCCTTGCGAATCGAGTCGGAGATCTCCCAAAAGCCTTTCGAGGGCTTGAAGAAGGAGCTGGAGAACATCATTGACAGAAGCGTGGACGTCCGACCACTGACTGGGACGAGCCAAGATAAACCAACTGACCTCAGTGATGAAGCCAACGACACTATTATGGTTGATGCCGAGCTTCAAATTACTGTTAAGGCCAGTTCCACTGAGGGTGGAGATGCGATGGACACTACTTCAGATAATGGAAATATTGAGGTCAGCACCAATATTGACGTCGATACATCTGATCTCGCAGAGGCAGGTGCTGTCGAAAAACACGAGTCTCTCCCTAACACTGTCAACTCATCCAATACACCCCCCGACACAGATGGTTATATGTCGAAGCCTCAACCGGCACAATCGGGGCCTCCCACACCGCCACAATCTAACGGCAGTCTTGGATTAGAACCCGCGGATCCTCTGACAGATGGAGGAATACTTTGGTACCTCAAGGGTCATGACCCCAAGGGAACATCTGTTCTCGAAGAGCGCTGGGCCGGGAGAGATGCCATCCGCATGCTCAGCGAAGACCTTACAGATTTAGATGACGAAGAGTTCAAAGGCTTGGGTATGGATGTCGACCACGCTGCAGCATCTGCCACAGTTGAGGCAGGTGTGAAGGAGGAGGTAGAACCCGCGGGTGGTAAGACCAGAGCGAGTAAAGCAAAGAAGCGGAGGACATCAACAAGGAGAAAATGATCTTCAACGTATAGGCATATACCAAGCAAACGCTCATCACAACCGGCGCATTTTGATTGCTTGCGGTTTTTGTCATGCGGGTTCATTTCAGAGAGTATAAAGGGCCATACAGATGCACTAATGAGCTTGGCGTTCAAGGGAAGGATGGGAAACAAATATTACAGGGTTAATACCTCTGAGAAGGAATCATGGGATGGAAAAGGCGTTGGCGAGGGATTCCTATATGGATTATGGGAATTAACGGACTTAGCTCAGCGATGGATTGCGGCTTGAGAATGTGTACGGTTAGTGGGATACGACACAAATGTATAAAATTAATGATCGTGGAATCTGAACCGATCAGTATGACTCTTGGAGCATAGTTCCATCAAATACCGAGTCCAACAATATCTCGACCATGCTTTGACGGAACCCCTTACGATCAAAGGGAAACCCGGAGCGGAAATAGGAAACTCGGTGACATAATTCGATCATGATATAATGGAGAATATCTGTCATGATGTGGAAAAGTATTATAACTCTCTTTAGTGGCGGTGATGATGGAGGTTGTCTGTGATGTCACGTGAATCATGGTCTGGATGTATGATGATGTAGCCACACTCGTCCATTCGTTTGCTTGCATCACCGTTTGTATGTGTACACCGGCTCCTGCGCGTCCTAGCGGGGCACGCGTACTGACGCAATAGACGAGAGAGAAATGAATGGTCGGTGAGTAATTTGAGGTCATTTTCTTCATAAGAAGAAGCTTTGGTAGCACAAAGATAGGTGTCTCGCTGTCTTTTCTGATATCTGGCTCGTCTAATCATTAAATAATAAAGCTGTGATACACATATCGTTAGCCGACATGCTCATCGAGCTTACGTGGGATGAAATGGTTAAATCGGAGCTCCCAATGCTTCTTTTCTCTTCTGGATGGAGCTGAGCTTAGCTCTGCAGAGCTAGTTCTCCATATGCACCAGGTTCTTGATTTTTGGTTGGTGTTTTTCGATCCTCCATACAGAGACCTCGAAAGGGATCAGCATCATGCAGCAAAGGAAGGACATGTGCCGTTGTGTGTTGCCTTGGGCTTGAGTGGCGAGATTCTTGCATGCGCAATTGAGAAATCCCATGGGGTTTATGGAGGAGTTGTTGAGGAGTGGATGAGGCTACTTTTTGTTAAGTCTGAAGTCAGGGAGTGAGCTCTGCCGTAGCCGTTATCAACTGGAATGGAACAAGTGGATGTTACGTATTCGATCGCAATACGACTTTGCGGGCCTGTCTATCTTTGTATCATATCCTGGTAGTAAAGGAACCCCTGTTCTCGATGCGCTTCATGTCGAACGAATCAGCTTCTCATATCCGCATCCTACACACGCGACAGCGTCTTCCTCACTCGAACTTTAGGGCGATCAACTAATAAGGAAAGAGCCTCTCTTCTCCGGGACTTGGGGACCGATGCTAAGAGAGCCGAGAGAGGCTGAGCCAGATGAAACTGATGTTTGCTTAACTTGGGTTCTCTTACTTGCTGCTCTAGTCTTAAGCGCCGACGAATCCGGTCGCTAAAGCTATGCAGGAGCCTCTAGAGTTGAGACGCCCCTTTTTTTAACTACCTTACCTAGTGACAGGAAAGGAGCAATTTTCCCCTGGCGAAGCTTGCTTGTCAAGAAAAAATCAAGGTTTTTATTTAGTAGTTAGGGCTTCTCAAGACGCGATATGAGGTGAGGGTATCCATACCTGGGCACCCAACGGGCAGCAAGCAAATGAGACTTACAGCGAGAAGGAAATGAGACGGTGATTTGAGCCAAGCAAGCGAGACAAGAGACAAAGTAACCCAGGACGACAAGAAATAACTGAAGAGGGGCTCCGAAATGTCAAGATGAGTTACGTTCCAGTCTCTATTGTTGTATATGCAGATGCTATGTACTGGATCAATGAGAAAAGCCAAGATTCTGTCGATGTCCACCTGTCTTGTCGGATACCTCAGGTCACACTGAGGCATGGGCAGGTGAGAGAAGCAATTTATAGCGGCTTCCCACTAAAAATATAGCTACCCTCAGCAGCCCCATCCCCGGAGTGCCACTGAGGGTCAGCTCCCCGAGTCCCGTACTTGTCCCAGGTCCATCCATTCCAGGTTCACATCCGGGCCCTGTGTACTAGCGTCTTTCCAGACCAGGGCAGGTACCATTTAGTGTAGGCAGCCCAAAGCCCAAGCGTCGGGTCAGCTCTGTTTGGTGGTTGTGACGAGTCCACCTTCTCAGTGAGCGAGCGAGTGTGAAAGCCCAGGAAAAATTGGAAAACTTCCCCCCCTTCCGTTCCCTCAGGTCAGAAGATAAACTTCAACCCTTCAACTCAACCCGACGACGACCGAGACGAAGACTCTATCCACGTGTTAGCCACATCGCCAACACTCTCTGCGAACATATTACAAATCGCTCGTCTGTGTGAAGAGCTGCTTTGCTTGTTACTTGATCCGCCATTTCCTTTTGGCCCCAGACGACGACTGACGAACCACCGTGTTCCGTCCCCCGACTCCAAATTCCCTGATCGCGCCCGCTTTGGCTGCCCCAACAGACCAGACGACGATAACATAAATAAATAAATAAAAAGGCGAAGAGAACATCGTTTCTCATATCTCAAAGAAAATCATCAAAATCGACGATACAGAGGCCCTTTGCTGCACTCTGCTTATATATCCTACAAAGGCGACGAAGCGTCACATATTTGTCGACGCAATATTTACTCTTGCTTGACCAGAAGACGAGGATAACAAAAACTCGCTCGCGCTGACGGTGTTTTGTCTCCCCCTTCTGGCTTCTAGCATCTTGCTCGCCCCTCATTTTCTGACGCCCTGTACCTACCTGTCTCTTTCTGGTACAGCTATCAACAACCAAAGTCGGTGGCCCACTGCGGCAACCACGACGACGACTGTTTTCTCCCCATATCCAACGTGATCTGATTGCTTCTTTTTTGCAATTCAATATCGAACGACGACTCAATTTGCTATTGCTGATCAACTTGCTCTTCTGCGCTTTCGATCTTTCGAAACGCAAAATCCTCCAATCGCTCGCTCCATTAGAGACGTGATCCCTTCACGGGTAAGTTACCATTTGGCGTTGGTACTGGTGTGCGCCCCATTCAATTCATTGCTCGCTCGCTCGCCCGCGCCGCGCCGTCTCGTCTCCCCTCTTGTTCCCCTCCCGTACCCATTTCGCGCTCACAGCCCTCTCTCTTCATGCTTCTTCGGCTGCTTCCCCTCCAATTTTTCTAGACTCCTCTCGTTTCGTTGTTCCACCATCGCAACGCAACTCACCCGCAAAGCAACGCAACCTAACCCAAACTTGTCTTTTGCCTCATATTTGTCCATCCATTCGTCGTCAAATTTTCACCCTCTTGTCGGTCGCGGCGTTTGCGAGTTTGGACACATTTTTCTTCGACTTGTCTTTTTTCCACGTCTCTCTTTTTTTTTTTTATTGCCTTGTATCTTCTTGCTTCCCGGTTTCACCGGCTGACTCGGCCAGGTTTTGCGAAGTGTATCGATCTGGTATCATATTTCGGTCGACAAAGTTACCCCCGCAGTTGTTCTGATTAGCGATCTTGTCTGCCGCCTTCCTCCTCCCCCACGCGACCCTCCCTTAACTCTACTGCGGGCACCCTCTCGCCAGCAAATTCTCTCAAAATGGCAGACCAACACGAGGTCGATCTCGACTCTATAATCGACAGGCTACTCGAGGTGCGAGGCAGCCGACCTGGCAAGCAAGTTCAGCTACTTGAGGCCGAGATCCGTTATCTCTGCACCAAGGCTCGTGAGATCTTCATCTCTCAGCCCATCCTCCTCGAACTCGAGGCTCCAATCAAGGTATGTTTTTGGCCATCATTCGTGCTGCCTCGGTCTGAGAATTGGTGCTTGATATGGGCGCTTCTGTTCTGGGTCTTGGGCAATCAAGAAAACCCTTTTGCTGACTTGCCCGTGCCTTAATAGATCTGCGGTGATATCCATGGACAGTACTACGATCTCCTCCGACTCTTCGAGTACGGTGGCTTCCCTCCTGAGGCCAACTACCTCTTCCTCGGTGACTACGTCGACCGAGGTAAGCAGTCTCTTGAGACCATTTGCTTGCTCCTTGCCTACAAGATCAAGTACCCCGAAAACTTCTTCATCCTCCGAGGTAACCACGAGTGCGCCTCTATCAACCGAATCTATGGCTTCTACGACGAGTGCAAGCGTCGCTACAATATCAAGCTGTGGAAGACATTCACCGATTGCTTCAACTGCCTTCCTATCGCCGCTATCATCGACGAGAAGATTTTCACCATGCACGGTGGCCTCAGCCCTGACCTCAACTCTATGGAGCAAATTCGCCGTGTCATGCGACCTACTGATGTGAGTAGCCTGGACTGCGCGAGATGGAGGCGCAAATTGTTCCGAGTGAGAGATACTGACAGATCTCTAGATCCCTGACTGCGGTCTTCTTTGCGATCTCTTGTGGTCTGATCCAGATAAGGATATTACTGGCTGGAGCGAAAACGACCGTGGTGTCTCATTCACATTCGGTCCGGATGTTGTCTCGCGCTTCCTTCAGAAACATGATATGGACCTAATCTGCCGAGCTCACCAGGTTGTTGAGGACGGCTATGAATTCTTCTCCAAGCGCCAGCTGGTCACGCTATTCAGTGCGCCCAACTACTGTGGTGAATTTGACAATGCTGGTGCAATGATGAGTGTCGACGAGAGCTTGCTGTGTTCTTTTCAGGTGAGATTTGACAATGCTTACCATGGTACAAACATGCTGATTATGCTTTTCCTAGATCTTGAAACCCGCTGAAAAGAAGCAAAAGTATGTTCCAACCACTCTTGGCAGCACTAGCACGCCAATCAACTCCCCTCGCAAGAAGAAGATGTGAAGAATTTATACCAACAATGTGCTTTCAACAGGTTCGGCCGACGTTAAACGATCATCCCACCTCCTCGACTAAGGTGAAAGACAACCGCGACGAAGAACGAACGACTCGACTCGGGACTTGTCTCGATCGAAGCGCACCCCCAATCTCCGCCGTCTCGCAGCTAGCCTTGCCACCGTTGGTGGCAGGGAATGTTGGTCCACTGGGAGGGTGACGGAACTTAAGAGGCGCCGGACGCGACGCTGACTTTTGCGAAACCCGAATCGTCTCTAATGCCTATATGCGAACTTGATAACGACAAACGGCTGTTTCTTAGCTCCACACACAGATAAAACATTGACAAAACTTGATTTTTGAGTTGCACACGCGCACATACAGTTCTCGGATTCCATGCACACATGATCCACGGGACAGACGACCTTGCTATGTCTGCTCCGCGTAGGCTGGCCCGTGGACATACGCAGTTCGAGAGGCTGGTATTCTCTCACTTGATTTGTGATGACAAGGATAAGATAATCCATCAACTGCTAATCTGTCTGACTGGGAGCGTTTTCTTTTACGGCCATGTTGCATTTCATGGACGAGCTTTGTGTGGTCTTATTCGTTGCTCAAGAGCGGCCTCTGTATACGTTTTGTGCTTTTAGATGGGTTTAGGGAGAGTGGGCAGGAGGGTAAAGCGTTGCTTGATTTTGGTAAGGGATAGCGAAGGTAGTGGAAGAGGAGAAGAATAAGGTGCTGGAGCGAACAGTAATTACTCTACGAATTGTGATGAAGATCGCGTCGTATTATCTTTGCGTGAGCGATGAATGTGGTTCATAGTACTCGTAACTCGGCATACGCCAAGGGTGAGGATGACTACGGAATGGCTGTGATGAAATTACAAGAATACTCATCTCCTCAGACGACGATCACGTAGGCGTGTAAGTTTAACTATACCTATTTACACCTACATAAGGGAGGATTCGACTTGGACAGCAAGAGGCGTTATCAATATGAATGCCGCACGTGAAGGCATTCATTACACCTGTCATAAGCCAGCCAGGTCATGGCCACAGATGCTTGAGAAATGCTACTGACAATCCTCACATTTCTCCGTCTCAACTGGCTTGTCTTTCGCTGTCTCCTCCTTCTTCCCGTGATCCCTATCAACATGGCCTAGATCTCTTCCTGGTTCAATGACATCTCTCACCCTCCTCTTGAGCTCCTTCGTCTCAGGAAAGCCCCCATCTTCCCGTCGATCCCAGAGGGTCTTTGTAGAAGCAATGCCTGCACCAGGGGCTTGATGCGTGATAGTCACGATGAAAGTCCCGCCTGTAGAAGGCTGAAGAGCGACCTCTCCGAGGCCTGTTGAGAATGTGGAGAGGAGTTCTTGAGCATACTGAAGGGCGTTAACTTCTCGTCACATGCTAGCAGGCTGTCAATTCGGTCAACTTACATAGGCAGCTCGTAACATCCATTTACACTGCGTGCAAAACTGGATAGAAACGCGGGGAAGAGGCGTTTGCGTCGACGCCTGGCTTGTCATGGTTTTTGCCGCCGTCTCTCAGTTGCTGGTTTTGTTATGCTATGCAGTCGTTTCCGGGAACGTCGTGGTCTATTCTTGGCTTGGCCGGGCTGGACCTTTGAGTTTTTAAACTCTGAGGCGTTGAGGCTTCCGAGCTTGAGTTCGACAACTAAATCTTCCAGTAAGGTGACCTTATCATTGGGATTTGAAGGGAACAATCGAGACAGTAAAAGAGTACGGGAACCTTGTCCTAATGGCTTGAGGTGCCTTAGACAGTGATTGATAATTGGTTGTATACTATCCTGTATGAGGGGATATTCTTTGCCCCTCCAGTTACAGTTAATGCGAATGCCCAGTCATATCTATATGCAAGCCCCGCGGTCGAGAACGCCTCAATTCGACCCAGGTGATCCACTTTGTGATTTCTGCTTAGGTACATCAGGTACTCCCATAGTGTACTGCGTGCCTTAGTAGAGCGGGACATGCTGAGGTAGATAGTTGGTTCCGCTTGAACACCTCGTCATAAGTTATGATAGATGGCTGATACAGGCTAGAAGCGTGAGTGGCAGTACTCGTTATGGCGTAGCCAAAGTGAGTATATAATGATATTCAAGATCTGCTACAGATCGGTACCTTGTGTCATAGTTGTTGTAAAATCCCAAGTACCTCTATTAGCAAAAGGTAACAAGGAAGAATTGCACGGGTCGGGTCGGATGGGCGTAAAGTTGAGTCCTGAAAACGTCAGTCTACACTATGTGAAATAGTGATTTATCCTCGGGACAGAGATGATGAAGTGAAAGTCATGAGTTATAAAACCGAGCTTAAACACCATTGAGACTCATATCTCAAAGCCTCAAGTTCAACAGTTGCAAGAATTGAAGTCGTCAAATCATAGATAAAAAAGTATATTTGCTTGGGGAACGTACACGACATTGGATGGAAATGACACCAAGATGATAACAGAAAAATGATAATAAAAAGGGGAATTATTACATTCGCGCAAGAGCCCGATCCATAAACCGTTTCTTAAGACCCAGACTTAGACCCAGACTCGTCGTAGTGGTGCTTCAACCTCTCCCCCCCCCCTTATCGTTGGTCTCATAGCAACATCCATGTCCCTCCCTTCCAGCAGGAAGAAAGGCAAATGTGCGGAGACAAAAATATTAAATCGCTGTAGTCCAGTCCAGCCTCCTCATCAACTATGGCTCCATTGCTCTCGCTGTTGGCTTTTATGACCCGCTCAAATAGTATGGTATCTTGGGGTATCTTGATCTGGGTCCATCTGGTACAGCTGGATCTTGTGTATGGGCTTTTCCCCTCTTTCTCGCGCTTCGCGTCGCTTCGTCAATAGGGCAAGTCGTTCCTGGTAGCTTCCCAAGTAGCCGTCGTGTTAATGCTAGCAAGCGCTTCGGTATCCAGGGCCAAATTCGCCTCCATCATCCGAGTATCCCATACTCAGTTCTCCTTGGTTTACTCCCCTTAAATGCGTCACAAACATATCAAAACTGACTGCGGCCCACCTCCTAATCGCTGAATCATTGCCGACATTGCGTAATTGTTGATTTTGGTAACCAGTAATAAGGAAAAATTATTATCGCGGGTGGCATTACATGACCACACAGCAGCCGCCAGATTGTTGCGGCGCATAAGGGTCCTCGCCCTTGGGAACAGCGCCCCAGACGGAGGGGACCATGTAGTCCCGAGTGCCATTGCAGTAGGCAATGATGCTATTACGACATTAGTTACTGATGCGTTGGTGTGGAATCAACACGATCGACTCACCTCTTTGATGCTGTGCTGACGGGAATACGCTCTCGCTCAAGATCCTCGCGCAGACGATTGTTGAGCTCGGTTAGTCGTCGAAGCTTCAGATCGGCCATCGACTGCTTGTTCTTCTTGATTTGCGAAGGGTCGCCAACATCGCGAGAAGTATACTGAGGCATCTTGGAACGGGGTGCCGAGGTGGGCGAGTGAGAGCGGTTTCGGAGGGAGAGTCACGGCGATGAGGCGCGCGAGTACGTTGAGAACTGTAATTCTTCAATATTAGCGCGTTGCTGGAGTGATATCGTTGAGTTCGAAGCGTAATCGAGGCATCGCGAGATGGGCAAAAGGCGGATCAGGGAAGGTCGGCGAATCGCGTCAATCGAATTTGTCTCGGGTGAATGTCATCGCAATCGGAACAAACGAGTCCAAGGGAGCATCGTCCGTCACTTGGTTGATTCTGCCGATGCCCATTTCCATGTTGTAGCACCTATATGCAATTGTCGCTTGCCCCTGATTGACGGCGACGAGGATTCGATCACTAGTAGGATATGACTTACGGAGAGTCGGACTCGAGTCAATAAATGACAGTGGGAGCTTGCGAAGCGGTTCAGTACGCAGACAAGAATGAGAGGATCGACAGTCGGGAGGGTATTCGGAAGGTGATGATGGTTGGAACGGGTGTGTGAAGGAGAAGAAAAAAGGGTCCGTCGTGAGAGGCCAGGGAAAGTGGAAGTGCAAGTGTAAGTGCAAGTGGAAAGGAAGGTAAGGTTTGGTGAAGTTGGTGGTAGAGAGCAGAGCAAAGCAGAGCAGGAGCGAGAATGTGATGGGAAGGACCTGGCCTGGCCTGGGGGCATGGTAGGGGGGGAAACTGCACTGCAGTGGAAAACCTCGAGCTAGGTAGGTACGGCCTACCTAACCCAAAGCCAGCAGCAGGTCCAAGTTGCGGGAAGCACCAGCACCAGCATTAGGACAAGCTGGGTTTAGATCGCTTAGTGGAGCCACTTTTGGGCGAAAATGGACCACTGAGTGCTCGATAACTCTTTGCCCGTCTGGGGACTTCCTTAGGCGGATTTGCTTGGTGGCTCGTGCACTTGAAGCTGTGGCTCTTCCTTCTGTTCCTGTGCTGCGGGAGCCCTGGCATGAAAATTGGGGGTAGGGGGGAGCTGCTGGGGGCCCCCGTTGAGGGACCTTAGACCTTGCTAGGGGCTGATGTGATGATCAACGGGATAAGGAGACGAGACATTATCTTCAGGACGTTGGATGGAGCCAATTGATTCAGAATGGAACATATCGACAGCAGATTTCTACAGTAACAAAATTTCAGGTAGGTAGCTTTCAGTTTCAACCTTCCAATAACCCGTTGAAAACAGCGAGTCCAGCCTCGCCCGGCCTAGCCCCTGATCTGCCTGCTGTGCTATGCTCATAGCTAACGAGTTAATTATGCTCCTCTTATTGCAGACAAGCATCCATGGCAAAAGGACTTCCAATTGAGCCATAGAACGCGCGTGGTTGGCTTTGGTGGGGCCTGCGGAACCGTATTTGGCCCCGAAGCCATCTTAGCTGCAAAGCTACAGGCACTTGATATTGCCTTTCAAATTATGAGGGGAGAAACCTGAATCAGCAACCCTCCAAGCCAAGAAGCCAGAGCGAGTGAGGGAACCGCGTGAATCTCTTCGATTTTTGTTGACATAGGGGAGGTTGAATGGCATTGACTTCCAACCTCTTGCGTCAATACTACCTCTGGTTACTTACCTTGGGTTCTAAGCTTATCTACCAGGTCTTCCATGAGATCACCCAAAGCCACCAAAGACGGATTCCGTCAAACTTTGGTCAATCGGTAAAAGCGGGAAGATCTGCCACCAGAACGCGAGAGTTGAAAGCAATACGCCCATTCATCTCAATAATGGGGCAGAGAGAAAGCCATGTTGATCAAGTCCAAGCTCGAAAAGCACAGGTCCAGGTACGGAAACATTGCCCGCTAACAAAACAGAGGCCGAGCTCGCTCGTTCTTGGTCACCCAAAAGCTCGTCTCGTCTCGGCTGCGCGCAAGCTTATAGAACCGAATACCACTACAGAAGCTTGCGACACCACATAACGTTCACGGATTTTGTGAGCCCCTTCCTGGACGCGTCCCTACTACGTCGCTCTCTAGTTTCTATGGAGTTCGAGACGCTCAGAGCCTCTGTTTCTGCTACTGTCGCTTCCCGCTCTCGGAACGCTGCAGTAGCGGCCTGCATACATAAAGGGGTTCCTTTTCCTGGGCTGAGAGAAACGTTTGATTCTCGAGTCCTCTACGAGTTACGGTCATCCAAGAAGTGAAGAACAAGAGCAAGTGCATCAAACAGAAATGATATGTTGCCTTCAGAAACAAACAATAGCGACACACATTGGGTTCTTTATTCATAATTTCTGTGTTTTATTAAATTATCAACTCTTTTATTATACTCATGGCTACTAATGAAGTCAGGACTTTGCTAAGAGGAACCAACGAGATCCACCAATGCTGCTAGTCATTAAGATGAGACCCGTCTTGGCGACACAGACTCTTTCTGCAAATGGTTTGGGTAACGGCGCAGCAGTCACGATACCTTGCTCTCTCTCTGGGTTGCAGCCTCAAAAAGGGCTGTGTAGCCCTGTACAAGAGTTGTTTTCTGTTTCGAATTGTTGTGAATTGTTGCATTGAAGCTGGGGCTTACTATAGCCTCAAATGCTCACCAGAGAGTGAAACAATTCTGTATCAAGAGTGTACTTCGCCTTCTAGGCTCTACAATTCTGGCACAGAGAGTAATTGCCTTGACGAGTCCTCATTCAATCCCCTCTTGCTCTCTATTCCTCATGTCCAGCACCAAGCAAGTTCCGCTTGTGGGCTGATAATTGCAAGCTATGTAGCTCTCCTATTGACATGGTTCGAGCCTGGTGCGTCGGCTTTTTTTCCCACACGATCCCCGGCCCAGGTACCTGCTTTTACCCCTGACCAGATTGCCATCCCATCTGTTCGTTATGTGCATCCGTACTCTTTGATGACTTCCGAGATGTCAGAACTCGTGAAACGAATGATCAACGCCATCCAGCTGGGACCAACTGACGCCATTCGCAAGGATAAACACGGATCGGGGTATTGTAATTTGTGACCGAAACACGAGAATCTCAGCTTTGTGTAGGAACAATGTTCATACATACCGGCCCTGCAAGTCGTTGGAGGGCTTAGGATGTTTTGCTATTTTGCACATAGTCTCAATCGGAGTAACTGTTCTCTTTTGATTTGCTCATGAAATGAAAACACGAACCGAACCTTTTTTATCAAGAAGAAGAAGCTTGAGCACAATTTATCACTTTAACTACTATGTTTGGATGTTTGGATGTCCGGTGTCAAATGCATTCAAGAGCCAATGGATCTTAAGTTTACAAACGACACAAGACATTAACTTCTCGTTATCCTCTTGATGACTGGCCGCCTGACTGCCGCTATCAATCAAGTTGGACAGGAACATGGGTCTCTGAAGATCTCTCACGTATATCTCGATCATGCTCCGAAGTTCATCACTTTGAGGTAAGGGTCTTCATATAACTTGATAACTCGTAATGGACAGGCTATCAGCCAGTACACCTATTTATGGATAAGATTCAGCCAATCTGTCATCACTGTTCATGTTACCGGGCTGCGAATAAACCTTTGATCGAGTCGAGTTTGCTAACTGTATAAGCAGGTCAGCCCTCTAACTACTTGTCCTCAGAGTTCAGCAGATCTCCAAGAAGTGATGTCTTTATCATGCCTTGTTCAAAGAAGGCAACCAAAAATAACACCGCACGCTCTTGTTTGACTCCAGCGATGAGCGATGTTTATATAACCTACCTCGACCAGTTCAATCAATTTCTGGCTTGAAATCACCCAACCAACGAAAGTATGTGGCTGACATTGTGCACGGCCACCGAACTTACCGCCACACCACAATTATAACAGCTGATGTAAGCGTGGCAGTAGCCCCTCCTAACCGTAGCGGCCACACACGAAAATCGAAAAATTCAACCTACGTCGTCGCAACACCATCACGAGTGCCGGTCGAATACCTCAGCGCACCTCCCCACCGGCTGATCGATCTCGGATCATCATCAATAAATCTCCTCTCTTAGTCAAGTCATATACAGAGGAGGTTGCCCAGCATGGTACGTGGAATACTTGCCTTCCTTTGTCCCGGTTGTCGTAACTCGAGCCCTATCTCTCTATTCGAACTTTACCCCTCCTCCACACTAAATCCGCCTTTGATGTTGACTTGAAGTCTTTTGATAGCCTCCTCCGCCGCACCAAAAGCCTGAGAATGTTCTCAAGAGGGCTCACGAACTCATCGGAGTCGGCCAGGCTCCCGCCGCCTTGACTCTGCTCCATGAGCACATCACCAACAAGCGCTCCCGAAATGTCCCAATTATGTCGCTGGAGCCTGTGATGCTCCTCCTCGTCGAGCTTTCCGTCGAACAGAAGAAGGGCAAGCTTGCCAAGGACGCCCTTTACCAATACAAGAATATTTCCCAGAACACAAATATTGCTACCATCGAGGTGCGTACATCATAACAGAGTCGGTGCCGTTGGGATTTCCGATATTAATATATACATCACAGCTGGTCCTTAAGAAGTTCATCGAGCTCGCGGTTGAGAAGGTCACTGCCGCCCAGCAAAAGGCCGACGAAGTTCAGGAGAGCATTGACGCTACTGCCGGCACCTCCAACATCGACGATCTCGAGGCCACCGAGACCCCGGAGTCCATCCTCCTTGCTACCGTCTCCGGTGAGCAGTCCCGAGACCGTACCGACCGGGCTATCGTCACTCCTTGGCTCAAGTTCCTCTGGGAGGCTTACCGAACTGTTCTCGACATTCTCCGAAACAATGCTCGTCTGGAGATCCTCTACCAGAGCACCGCTACCCAGGCTTTTGACTTTTGTCTCAAGTACACTCGCAAGACCGAGTTCCGCCGCCTCTGCGAGCTCCTCCGAAACCATGTGCAGACCGCTGCCAAGTACTCCTCTCAGATGCACGCCATCAACCTGAGCGACCCCGACACTCTCCAGCGACACCTTGAGACACGTTTCCAACAGCTCAATGTCGCTGTAGAGCTCGAGCTCTGGCAGGAGGCTTTCCGAAGTGTCGAGGATGTTCATACTCTTCTTAGCCTCAGCAAGCGACCCCCCAAGAATGTCATGATGGCCAACTACTACGAGAAGCTTACCAGAATTTTCCTTGTCGGCGAGAACTACCTCTTTCACGCTGCTGCTTGGTCGCGATACTACACTCTTCTTCGCCAGTCCTCTGTCCTGGTTGCCACTGGCCAGGGCAAGAAGGCTGACAACCCCCCTGCCTCCGACGCTGAGCTTCAGAAGGCCGCCTCTTTCGTTGTACTCTCCGCCCTTGCCATCCCTGTCATCAGCACATCCCGATCTCGAGGTGCCATGGTTGACTTCGACGAGGCCAGAAAGAACAAGAACTCTCGCTTGACTCACCTCCTTGGAATGTCTCAAGCCCCTACTCGTGCCAGACTATTCCGGGATGCCCTCTCAAAGTCCCTTCTTCAGCGCGCTCGCCCTGAGATTCGGGAGCTTTACGAGATCCTTGAGGTCGACTTCCATCCTCTGTCAATTTGCCAAAAGATCTCTCCTATCCTGACCAAGATTGGCGCCGATTCTGAGATGGAGAAATACATTCTCCCTCTGCAGCAGGTCATCCTTACCCGTCTGTTCCAGCAGCTTTCCCAGGTCTACGAAACCGTCGACCTGTCTTTCGTTGAGAGCCTGGCTCAATTCCCTGAGCCCTACCAGGTCACTCGTGGAACTATCGAGAAATTCATCATGAATGGTAACAAGAAGGGCGATCTTTCTGTCCGCATGGCCCATGCCACAGGTGTTCTGAGCTTCGATAACGATGTCTTCTCATCATCCAAGGCTAGCCACGGCGGGTCTTCTGCCGGTTCTGCAGAGTCTGAGACCGGTACCGTCCAGCGTCTTCAGAGCACTCCCTCTGAGATTGTCCGCTCCCAGCTTACCCGCCTCGCCAAGTCTCTCTTCACCACCTGCCATTATGTTGACCCTGGCTTTAACAAGGGACGCCTCGAGGCTCGTGAAGCTGCTCTCGCTCGCGCCAAGGCTGGTGCTGAGGAGGAGCATCTGGCCATTCTTTCACGAAAGGACCTTATCCAGAAGCGCAAGGAGGTTGCTTCTGAGATCCAAGCCAAGAAGGAGAAGGAGAATGCCCGCCAGAAGAGACTTCGTGAGCAAGCCCTCCAAGAAGCCGAGGATCTGCGTCTCGCCAATGAGCAAAAGGAGCGCGAGGCCAAGCGCCTCAAGGCTGAGCGTGACCGAGTTCGCAAGGAGGAACTCAAGAAGCAGATCGCCGATCTTAAGATTGGCGACAAGGCTATCGATATTGATCTGGAGGACCTTGACAACCTTGACAGCAACCGCCTACGCGCAATGAAGCTGGCTCAGCTCGAGCGTGAGAAGAATGATGTTAACGAGCGTCTCCGCATCACTGGCAAGCGTCTCGATCATCTTGAACGTGCTTTCCGTAAGGAGGAAGCCAAGAAGCTACACGAGGACTATGCCAAGCAAATTGAGCAGGACCGCAAGATCTATGAGACTGTCAAGGCCCAAACCCTCAAGGATGCTGAGCAGAAACACAAGGAGAGTGTTGAACTCAAGCACCGACTTAGTCGACTGGTGCCTCAGTACGAGGAGTTCCGTGATTCCCTGCATGATCGCCGTCGTGATGAGTTCGAGAAGCGCCGTCGTGACGCTGAGCGTGAGCTTGAGAAGCAGATCGCGCAGCGCAAGAAGGAGGTCCGTGACCGACGTCTTCGTGAGAAGCGTGAGCGCGAGGAGAAAGAGCGTGAGCTACGTGAGGCCGAAGAGCGCGCTGCTCGCGAGAAGGAGGAGCAGCGCATTCGGGATGAAGCTCGTAAGGAAGAGCTTGCCAAGCTCAAAGAGCAGCGGGAGAAGGAACGTCAAGAGATGCTGGAGAAGGCTGCCCTTCAACAGCGACGCGAAGAAGAAGCACTGGCTCGTCGCAAGGCGGAGAAAGCTCAAGGGGCTGGTGGCTTCTCTCGTGGACCAGAGCGCACAGATTCGTCCGAGGGCCGAAGACCACCTGTCTTTGGTGCCGGCAAATGGCGAGAACGTGAGGCGGCCAACCGTGACGCTGGAGATGCTCCTCCTTCTCGAGCACCTCCTGCCGAGAGGTCTGGTTCCAACGACCGACCTTCTGCTGGTGGTCCTCCCAAACTCAACCTCTCTGGTGGCAAGCCCAGCTGGCGAGAGCGTGAGGCTGCAAAGCAAGCCGCTGGTGGCGGAGCTGATGCTGGATCTTCCGCCCCTCCCCCTCGCTTCGCGCCTCGGGGTGGTGCGCCACCTATGGACCGAAGCGGCTCTGGCCGTGCTGAGGAGGATCGAAAGCAGTCTCCCGCTCCTCCTGCGGAATCCCAGCCTGCTTCACGAACAGCTGGCAAGTGGGTTCCTCCTCACATGAGGAACAAATAAGCGATGCAGACAGGGGAGAGAGATCGCAGTTGGGCATGCATAGTTTGCGATTCAGGCGTTCAGGATTTGGTTTCTTGTTCTCCGTAGCATGGAAGGAAAAGTAGTAGTAGTATGAATCAATTCAAGACTAAGCGCATACGAGCACCATGTTACAACCGTTTTCTCAGCAGTCAAGCTCATTGGTTATCTAAGGGACAGGATAGATCATGAGGTAGACGAATGATGACTTCTTACAACTTTAACAAGCAATCTAGTGCCACAGCCTTTCTAGACCTGTTGTTTATTAGTCTGCATTCCTCGTACCTGGACAAATTTTATCGATGGTCAACGTGGCTGTCAAGTTTGAAAAGTTAACTAGCGTAGCAGACGACCTTCTGCCCTGCCCAGTGAGTCACTGTCTCGTCATATAGCATTCGATCACTTCATGCCGATTTTTGTAGGCTTGAAAAGTCCGTTATGAAATATACATGCTTTATTCACGAGTCAGTTGAGGGGGCATCTATTGCCTGAGAGGGCAGGATTAGGTTAGACGATTAGGACTAGAAGGACTTACTCGCAACAGAAACATGATATGAGTATGTTTATAAAGTCATGAAATGTCATCGATCGGTGAGATTGAATATCCGCTCTTATCCGAACGAATGACTGAGTCTCGAACTGAGTTTGGTTCCTAGATCGTCGGGATCGTTTAGTAAATCCCAACGGTTCGTTCTGAAACTGCAATGCCAGATTCGAGACCAGTCTTCTCTAACAGGTCAGAAGTTTCACTGATGGGGACTTGGTTTGAACGTGATCAGCAAAGGTTTATACGAGGTGCAGACGGCAGTGGTGCTCTCATGAGGCGTCAGACTGTTTGCCTATGGAAGACACTCGAATGATCATCACGAGTGATGGGTGTGATCGAATAGACTCAAGAATTCCAGCAACGTTGGATGTCAATGCTAACCCGACCTTATCATCCAAACTCTCAAACACTCTTATCTGCAGTTTTAATGTGCTGGGTTCTGCGTTTGTCACCCAGGTTGTTGGTTGATGATGCCTGTAGTCTAGTCATGTCAGTGATGATCACGTGCAAACGAACTAGTACCCAAAGCAACGAACTTCAACTTTACCATTGAAGACAAGTTTTTTTGTACGACACCAGACACCAAATGATTTTTTCTTTCTGCTTTTCTCCATAACTGGAATAACTGGAAAATTGATGGCATGTCCGGCCCTCTCGTGGCTGAACGACTAAACAAGATCGTCCCCAGAAGCTGCCAAACTAGAGTTGTTCGATATCCTTCAACCTTGACCAAATCCGGCGATCAAAGAGGACGGCCAGACCGGACCTCAGCCATCTAGATCCTCGCGGCATGGATCTTCTGGCAATGAGAAATGAATTAGGATTCAATTGCGGCTTGACGTAGCAAAGGCTAGTAGCGTTGAAGAGGTCGACCAACACAACACCAGCAAGTGCTGAATCCACATGGAGAGCCAGCTAGCCACAGGTATGCTGGGCCAGAGCCACGATACCGCTATTCTAGTGTTTCTACTCCATCGTGGATCCGATCTAAAGGCAAAGCGTTTTTGGGGGATTTGGAATATGACCTTGTTGTAGATCCAGTTTATCTGGTTTGGAGGATGGAGATCTCTTGCAGGGACCAACTAGAATCTTCCCCAGACACATTCACTTGGAGACTCTGGCAAGTCGCTTCTGCTCCTGCTTTCTTTAGGTATGTTAGACTCTACATGTTCTATCACTCAAGATTGACATGTCACGAGGGTATGACAATTTTGGATCTGTATCAACATCATGGTCACAGGCGATATGAGTGGGTCATGGCTCGGCCTCGCCTCGTTCCTGACTCTTCAACTAGGACCTATTGTACCTGCATCAGAAGCTGCAGGAACAGGCGGGAGAGCTACAGGCCCCTAAAGACGCCTCCGAATCCATTCCGAGAGCCGACCGCCATCGGTCACGTCTGGGCCCTTGGCGTCTCCACGTGCATCAAGATTCACCTCTGAAGTCTGTTACGCTCGAATGATTGTCGTAAAATCGGCCTCCCGCGCCTCTTCGTCTCTCACTCTGCCGACTAGACTCAACAGATCAAGCCACTATAAGGAACTCAACTCGTCCACTTCGCGATCTACGCCCGAATTAGCAAGAGAGGAGCTTACCCAGCTGAGCTGTTTTGGATAGTCTCGTCCTTAGTAGAACTGGCCGATTGATACTACCTTCGAGTTTGGCGTGTGTTAGGCGCTTAGTGGCGTCTGTCTATGACTCCCGCTTTGGGAAGGGTTGTTCTTGTTGTGCCACGAGCTCATCGGTGTTCACTGGCGTCTTTTGCATCATGATGTTATTCAGTAGATTTGTGGCATTGTGGATGAGCACGGGGCTTCCGGTTCCTGAGTCTATGGCTGACATGACTGAGTTCGTTAAGTTGATCGAGAGGCGAGGAGATTTGCCTTAGTAGTCATGGAATAATCGCAAAGGATAAATATCCTCGAATCCCCCGTACCATAAACAGTCTTTTCTCATCATCCAACAGCAGCTTCTCAAGCAATCAGGTTACTCTCACACTCTCTTCTTCGGATCGCATTCTTTCTTTTACTTGCCCTGGGGCACCACTCTCTTTAAACACCAAGACTGCTTGCAACGTCACTGAGGCACCGGATACACGATATCACTTACAACAACCTCGACAGCTATTTGCAACTTTCTGTCCTCTCATTTGATAACAACAACAAAATCATGTACTCTCTTAGAACCATTGTCGCTGGTGCGACTATCGCCTTGGCTGGCATTGCCCAGGCCACCCACATTGACTACCCGCCTTGTCTTGACCCTTTTCAGCCCTATGTTTCATCTGGATGTTACATGGATGGCGTTGAGGGCCATATGGGTGGTGCACTCATCTACCGCTCCGGTCAGAACCAGTACAACATGACTGTCGAGAAGTGTGTTGCCGAGTGCAAGGGTAACGGCTTCCGATATGCTGGTCTCAAGTACTATGGTGTCTGTTACTGCGGTTCCACCGTTGGTGGCATTCAGCTTCCTGATAGCCAGTGCAACTATCCCTGCACTGGTGATAAAACCGAAACTTGCGGTAGTGACAATGCCTTCTCCATCTGGCAGGATCCCACTTTCAAGCTCACCAACCTTGGAGGAGTTGTTACTCAACTTCAGGGAACTGTCCAGTCTATCGCCGGTTATAAGCCCAACGGTTGCTACACTGACAACTCCTCCAAGGGCCGCGCTCTGACCTGGCCCATGGATATTGATGGTTCTCAGATGACCCCCACCAGTTGCTTGACTGCCTGCGCTGACCAGGGCTTCCCTTTTGCTGGTCTTGAATATGGTGGTGAATGCTACTGCGGTAACGTCCTGGCCAATGACACTGTCAAGGCAGATGTTGGTGACTGCAACGTTCCTTGCAACGGTGACAAGACCCTCCTTTGCGGTGGGCCTAGTCGTTTGAGTGTCTACGTCGCTGAGGATCTGCTTTCTCTTCAGCCATGTGGCTGGAAGCCCAGCAACTCTGCCTCTGCCTCGGCTTCCGTTTCTCTCTGGTCATCTACCTCTACCACTTCCGCTACTACCTCAAGTGTTGCTACTTCCAGCTCTTCAAGCACCAGTTCTGTCGTTAGCTCGTCCACTACCAGCTCGGTCTCCAGCTCCAGATCGGTTGTCACCAGCTCTTCCACAACCTTGAGCACTCTGACCAGCACTACTGGAAATGGACAGTCTTCTACCACGGGTCAGCCTTCTGGGCCTTCTGGTCCTTCTGGTCCTTCTGGTCCCTCTGGTCCTTCTGGTCCCTCTGGCCCTTCTTCCACTACCAACAACCCTCCTGGCCCCTCCAACCCTTCTTCCACCAACGGCAATGGCCAGTCTACCACCAACAAGCCTTCCACTACAACCACTACTTCCTGCAGCACCACTACTGGTCCTGCTATGTGTACTTCTACCGTTGTTGTGCCCAACACCTGCGAGTACAAGTGTGGTAACTGGTGTGCTCCGTCTGTCCCTGACTTCCAGGATCAAAACAGTTGCCAGACCGCTTACAACAACTGCGCCAAGAACATTGCTGCTTGCTTCCAGAACGCTGGCTGGCCCGGCGCTCTGAACTGCTTCGACTTCTCTAAGTGGTGTGATGGTGTCCAGGGCTACTGTGCTTCTTCTTGCTCCCGTGGTCGTAGCTGCAACAAGCTTGGCTGCATCAAGAACAACGCTCCCACTGGCGGAAACAGTGCCTCGACTACCACCAGCGTCTATCCCTGCGCCGTCACCAGCGCTTCAACCACTTCTTCTGCTGCTGCCACCTCTTGTGCTCCTCAGCCCACCAACATTTGCCAGCAGCCCAGCTCCAACATCTGGGGCTACGGTCCCGGCAACCCTGTCGGTGGTATTGAGCTGCCTCTTGTTGCCTGTAACGACTTGAAGGGCGACTTTTCTCAAAACCCCTTCAAGCTTTACACCAATACCAACTCCAATTCTTGCTCTTCTTATCGCCGCAACCAGCAGTCCAGCGCTTGTGCCGACGCCTGCAAGGCTCAGTACAACGCTTGTGTCGGTACCTATGTCCAGAGCTGCAAGAAGCTTAACACTCGCAGTGATAGCAGCAACTACTTCGACAAGCGATCTCACTCCCACTTCCACAAGCGCGCCCTCGAGAAGTCTGGTATTGAGCCTCGCTTCTTCAACCTATTCGGTAACGACCAGTGGCAGAGCGCTCAGAACAAGTGCTCCATCCAGTATGCTGACTGTCTCTGGGAGAACGCCAATGTCAATTTTAGCAGCCGCTGCCAGAACTTCGGCACTGGTCTGTAAAGGATGTTCGCTCAGTGATCTGGAGTTTCGGAGATCGGTGGTCAAAAGCGGTGGCGGTGTTTGGGTTCGAGCATAGGATGGGAGATCTGGGTTGTACTTTTCGGTTTCGTGTTTACTACTGTTTTCACATACACTCGCTTGGTTGTTGTTTTATTGGTTAGACTATCGTTCGCTAAACAGAAGCTGCTTTGTTTTGATAAGCCAACTCCTTCTCTTCTCCTTACTTCGTGAACTTGATCATAACTCTCAGCAAAATTCTCTGTCTGTGTTCCGCGTCCCCATTTTCACAAGCTTCGAGAGGCAATAACGTCCGTCACCCAAAGACTGGCCACCCCCACAGACCGGCCACCTCACTTTTAACCCAGCCACCCAATTTATATATACTTTAAACAGTCACAACTCTACCAATTTAATTCCAATTAATTTCAAACTAACGCCAATCAATTCAGAATGCCTTCTTTTACTGAAAAAGATATGAGCGCCGCTCTCCAGATGGTTGCAGAGGGTATGTCAGTGAATAAAGCAGCCGAAGCTAATGGCATCAACCGTTCAACGCTCCAAGGTCGGATCAAAGGAAGTACAACACCAAGAGAAGCCCAAAAACCTCGCCAAAAGCTCTCTGATATTCAGGAAAAGCATCTGCGAGACTGGATTATTATTCAGGCTGATTTAGGATGCCCTGTATCACATCAGCAAGTCAGAGAGTTCGCCAGCAAGATTGCCGTCCGCAACGGCTTCCCAGAAGGCGTCGGAAAGAACTGGTTACAGGGCTTTTTAGGACGAAATCCTGATATCAGGACTTTAAAAGGCAAGAAAATTGACTCTGATCGATATCAGGGAGCTTCTTCTGAACTGATAAAGGCATTCTTTATGCTCCTGATGATGCCGGCGATACGCCTAGTCAAGCAGGGGAACAGATACAACGTCGACGAAGTTGGAATGATGGAAGGAATAGGAATGAACGGTCTATTCCTTGGTCATCAGTCGAAGAAGTCAGTACTTATTCGTCAGCCTGGTTCTCGTGCCTGGATTACAATTCTCGAGTGTATCTCAGCAACCGGGAAAGTCCTGAGACCTACAGTCATTTTCAAGGGGAAAACAGTCCAACAACAACATTTCCCTGAGGATTTAGACTTCCTAGATGACTGGGAATTCGCCTGTAGTGATAAGGGCTGGACGAGTAATAAATTGGCATTGGTTTGGTTGAGAAAAGTCTTTATTCCATCGACGCAGCCCGAGAATCCAAAAGAACCCCGTCTTCTTATTCTTGACGGCCACGGAAGTCATGTTACAGAAGAGTTCCTTTGGGAATGCTATGATAACAATATATATCTGTTATTTCTTCCTGCTCACGCTTCCCATGTCCTTCAGCCACTAGATGTTGCTGTTTTTGGTCCCCTAAAGAGGGCATATCGTCGACTTCTTTTAGATCTTGTTTCTGTCGCTGATGACAGTCACGTCGGCAAGATTACATTTCTATACACTTACGACAAGGCTCGGAGAGAAGCTATCACGAAGTCCAACGCGATTGCCGGCTTCAAAGCCACTGGACTGTGGCCTGTCAATCTGGCGAAGGTCCTGATGAACCCGATGGTCACAGAGACACCTTCTCCCGCTGTCACAGCGAATTTGCCGGCTAAAGAGCAGCATTCCAGTCTCCTGAAGACTCCCCAGTCGTCTGTACAGCTTCGGCGAGCTCTAGACCTAGTCCCAGCTTCTGCAACTCAAGATCCGACTATCAGGCTGCTGTTCAGGAAGATTGGCAGTCAATTGGACCGTCATAACTTCAATATTGAGCAGCAAAATAGACAAATAAGTGTTCTACAGCGGGAAAATGAAGAAAATCGACCAAAAAGGCGTAAAAAAGTTATCTATAACCCAAATGCTGAGTTCGCAAAGATTCCAGCGATCAAGAAGGCTCGTGAACAGATGTGGAGGACTTTGCAGCCAGAAAGAACGGCAAATAGGGTTAAGAAATTAAAACTTGAGGACCTTTGTACTCAGTTTCATCTAAATATTCACTGACTAAATTTTTATTTAATATAAAAAATGTGGTGTTGAGATAATTAGTTAATTGATCATGATATCCGGTTCTTGGTGTTTTGGTCGGGGTGGCCGGTCTGTGGGGGTGGCCAGTCTTTGGGTGACGGACGTTATATTTGAATTAAGAGACTATTTTTGCAATAAGTTGCTGGAGTGGATAAGTGTCCTTTGGGTATACGACAGGATGTCAGGAGTAACTTATAACACTCCCTTCCTTCGATTTATGGCATTGTTTCAAAGATAAAATGCTGTCCAATGTAATGTTTTCACCAATACGGTGTAGATATCCACCGAAGCCTACGACGCTCAGATTTCGTCTCTCTAGGGTAAGCTATAACAATTTCTAAGGTCCGCTTATCTTTGGTATCATACTAAGTTGACAGAAACTGTATCATTGAAAACAGATGCGTTGCTCTGTATGGCCTCGGAAACAAGAACCCCCTCTTGGTTGGACAATAATTTCATCCCGTGCCGACATAACTATTAAAAACTGTACGAACGTTCAATCTCAGTTCAGAGACCAAAGACCAGAGCATAATTTAAACTGGGAATTAACTAACCATTGACATATTAATTCATAATATGGCTTCGACCTACAGTTTTTAATATACAGTACTGTAACGATAACGAGAACTGCCTTACTTAAGGCAAGTAGGTATATTCAACATGAGATCGATGCACAGTGTAAAATGTACATAAAATAGAAGTTGATACTGTACAAAACACGCGTTTGATAAGGTAAAGGTAGCCAATAGCCAACGAACGTGTTTTGAAGAACCTCACCTTGTCCTTATAGATCAAAAACATCGGCGACCTGAAAATACCACCGAAGGTAATGGAGGAGATTCTGAATAAAGTGGCAGATTTGGCGTCAGCTTTATCTCCAGCTCAATGGTGCCAGAGTTTCTTCACACTTTCTGCCGCTCTCGTTTTAGCTCTACAGGTTCTCCCTCGAGATGTCCGTAGGGCTATGATGGACTATGGTCCTCGAAGACCTAAAGACGGAAAGTCCAGGAACAAGCAAGAAGACGATGAGAAGCAAAGCTTCGCAGGATTGAGATCGTTCTTGAAAACCCTAACGGAATATGGGCAAGTGCCTCACTCGTGGTTTTTGCACTTCTACATCACCTCAGTATCTCTGTCAGGCTTTTGGGCCTGGCAATATTTAACGAGGGGATCGGTGTTGAGGATTATTGCTACGTGGCAGGACAGGGCTGGCAGATCATCGATGAGCCTAGAGCAAATATATATCGCATGGCTGCTCATGGCGTTGCAGGGTTCAAGGCGGTTATATGAGAGTTTGTTTGTATTCAAGCCAGGCTCGTCACCTATGTGGTTCATTCATTGGGCACTTGGTGCTGCATTCTATGCCGTTATAAGCCTCGCTGTCTGGATCGAGGGTTCCAGTACGCTACAACCCTGTCACAGTTGGTCACCAGAGACACTGACAAGTTATAGGTGCAATTTTGTCATGTTGGGATTCTCCTAACCAGCCCCTTAAAATCCCACGGAGGTTGCTATCGGCTGTTCTATTCTATTTCGTTGCATACTTCAAGCAAAATCAATGCCACAGACATCTGGCCAGCCTCAAGAAGTACACACTTCCAACGGAAGGGTGGTTCAAATACCTCGTCTGCCCCCACTATACTGCTGAGTGCATTCTGTACCTTGCAATTGCCTGGATCGCTGCGCCTCCAGGCGAGCTATTCAACAAGAGTATCCTGACTGCTGTGGCGTTTGTGGCCGTGAACCTGGGCGCTACGGCAAAGGGCACAAAAGCATGGTATGAGAACAAGTTCGGCTCAGACAAGGTAGCTGATCGATGGATCATGATCCCACCTGTCTACTAGCTTTCTAGTCACACCTGAATCTTTCATCGTTTGAGGAAGATGCCAAGCTTGTTCGCGACTTTTGATACCTGAAGAACATCTCGATACGTCAGGCTTGTGCGAGTTTGACGAATATTCCGACCATTGGCGTATACACCGGGAGAACGGAGAAGATCCCAGTTGGCAACAGTTTCGGCACTCAAGTCAGCATCCTCTTCGATATCAGCAATCCCATGGAGATATTCGGTATACAGCTCGTCAGTTGTGACGAGTAAACTACGGGGTTCTTGGAGGATCCTCCAAGCAGGTTCGGGATCAAGAGCGCCGTCCTCCTTGCTGCGATGCAGGTTCAGGCATAGGCTGGCTCCAAGGCTGACGGTGGCCACAACTGGCCAGTATGCCGCGCCATCCTGTATAATATAAGTACGAAAGAGAAAAGAGGGTGTATCACTTGATGAATACTCAACTTATGTGGCATGATACCAATACCAGGTGGATACTCATTGATGAGGACATGATTCGGCTTCTTGTGAGGACTTCTTTCGAATACGTTCGCTGCTGAGGAGTCCTGGGATGGCATCGAGAGCAGACGGGATATGACTGGGTCTTGAAGCCAGGGAGGGAGGGGAGCTTCAAGGAGTTTGTTGTTGACGAGATCCGAAGGCCAGGTCTGAAGACGCCGTTTTGTAAGCTGTTTCCACCTTGGTTTGGGAGCGCTTGATATCTAGAGATGGTTGAGTTGTGATCGGCTATTATTTGTATTGCTGAATACAAACCTTGTCCAGAATGTTCTGCTCTTCTTGCTCGGTTATGAAGTTAGGAATATAGTACGCCGTCTGAGGTAGAGTGTTAATTCTGGCGTGTTCCAGCGAAGGAGGTAGTAAGACATCGTCTTTATCCGTGCTTGGCAAGGCAGAACTTGATGAATCCATCACGATCTTCTTGTTATTACAGCACATAAAAGGTCAGGCGCGATTCTTTGACTTTGATAAGCTGTGATTCCACACGTCGAGGGTTTGATGTTGTGCTAGGGCCAAGATCAGCGAGAGAGGGAATTGTTAGTGGTTGAAGTTGCTTGGAGTATCCAGGCAGAGACGGTGGAGATCCTGGTACAGTTAAATATGGGGCAAAGGGACTGATGAAACTAAGCCTAGCTCGAGTAAAGTCTCCATACACGGAACCTTGAATATCTACGAATTATTGACTGCCCAGAGGTATAGTATTAAGGTAGGTAGCACAAATAAGACACAGGAATCTATATCCCAAGCAATCAAGTCCGAGCGAATCAAATCATGAAGAGGGATTGAACATTATGCGCTACTGATTCAACAAGCTGATTGTTATAAGTCCTCACTGGTAAGTCAATCGTATCAAGGTGTCATCTTGGAGTTCCTTGCCGCAGGGGGGGGATGAGCTAAACTAAAATGGGTGCCT